CTCTCCTCTGCTCCTAACAGTGGTATCAGCCACCAACACATTCCTGTTAGTTTTTTTCTAGCATCTAGAAAGAAAGACAGTGAGAACTAGTGTTGTAGTCATTGCAGAAAGGGTAAGAAAGTAGTTTTGTTACAGGTAAATACTTTCATTTGTGCTTGAACCCGGAAGAAATGATTACGTTTATGCAAAGAAAGTTGATAGCTTCCTTATTTGTACTCTAATGTCTATAAAGGAAATGTCTGGTTCTCTCCTGAGAAGGTCCTATAGAACCAAGAATGTGAATGGATCTTAATGCTATTTTATTAAAGCCTCAAGCGTTTCCACCTATTCTTTCCTAATTCTATAGGGGAAGGAAAAGAAGGAGAATGAAAGGAGGAAAGGAAAAGGGGAAGAAAGAGAAGCAGAGAGGGTGAGGGAGGAAAAGAAGAGAGGAAGGAAGAGAAAGAGAAAAATGGAAGGGAAGAGGTGGAGAAATAAAACAAATTCTTAATAAGAGTGGTTTTCAAACCATGGCTGTATTTTAAAATCCAGATGAAAAATGTCAATGCTTAGTACCACCCTCAGGGAGGTTTACGGTCCCTATTCTATTGTGGTTCTCTTGTACACCCAGAGTTGATAATGTAATAAATATATCATTATAGTCTATTAGATAATGACTCCAGAACGTAACACTTTAGGAAATTTACTTAAGAATCGCAAACAAAAAGCATGCCAGCTTCTTACTGAACAGGTCCAAGGGGCTGGTTGCTTTTCTGAGTATCCCTTCTGTCCCCAGAGAACACATTGCCATGCTCATGCATCCTCAATCCTAATTTTCTGAGGGCTGCAAAGTACCCTTATGCACGTTCTTCTTATTCACTCTTCTAAAATTATTGTGAAACCAGTACTTTCGACTCATAGAGTGGAACCCCCTTCTTGATAATAATACTTTGTGACTTTTAGCAGCTGTAGATCATTTACACATCTCTTATTGGCTAGGGATTCATTCACTCACTACTTCAAAACTTTTATAACTACTGATAAGTCTCTCTGTGTGTTGCCCTCCATTGTCTGTATATTCAGGAAACTGAATAATCACCTTTTCTATATGTATATCAAATATGCTGGAAGTCATTAGTGGTTGAGTGATGAACTGGAAACAGCAGTGTACTAAGATGCTCAGAGCCTAGCTGTGTATTCCTCTTTATGTGACCTGAAATCAGTCACGTAACCTTTCTAGCCTATTTTTTAAGTGTAGTGACACAGGTGAATGGTATCTCATACCCACTGCAGCTCTAAAATATCACACTGCATACGATTTTCCTATCCACTTTCTGGTAATACAGCTAACAAATAGTGGCAAAGTACAGAGAAATCACAAGATAAAAAAGCTTATGGTTCAGATAAAACACCAAGTTGATGAATCTGCTCTTGAAGCATGGACTAGATCCTGAAAAGTTGCATTTTTAAAAGACTACCATGAAATCATGTGGCAGCAAAATTAGGTAGGTTCTACTTTCTCCTATCAGTCCATATGGAAAAATCGTTCTTACTGCCTTCTCACTGAAAAATACCCTGGCGATATGAAAAAAGCAATAATCTGATTCTCTACTTGTTGAACTAATACAAAGAAAGAGAAAAGTAGTGAATTTTCTAAGTCCCTGTAATCTACCAGGCAAGATTTTAAATATTCAGTCTAAGTTCAGCTCACTGTTCCTTTGCAAAGATCTTGCACCCACATCTCTCCATCCCTTTCCTCGTGCCACCTCCTCCTCAAGACATCCTGTATGTTGTCACTGAATATATCTTCATACTTCTTGATTATGGCTTGTTACTCTAAAACTGCTTTAAGACTTATTTCCTGGAGTGTAAGTCAAAACTGTTTGGCTTGGCATTCCCAGATCTCTATAGTCTGTATCGCCCAGAACCTTATTGAGCTTTCAGTGATCACCAATAGACCACTGAGAGTCACAGGTTTGCTCCCACTTTTCTAGCCCATCCCCTACTCTTTGTCTAACTATTCCTCAACACATTTCCTCCACTCGGTCTGCTTTGCTTTTATTCACCCCCTCAGCCAGGCTGTCTCAAGTCCCTTCACTCTTTCTTGCTGTTACTGCCCTTTCCATATGTAATAGCCCTGCCCATCTTCTTCAGTGTAGACTAATTGTGGCTGTTCTTGGAAACTTACCCACCTAACATTTCCTCTCATCTATGAAGCATGCTTGCAGGCTTACAATGATCTACCTTTCCTCCCTCTGTATTATGCAGCATTTATTGTTTCCTGTAAAGTCTGCTGTTTTGTTTACTGAGTATTTCCTGCTTAGACTATGTGCTTCCAGAAGGCAGAATTAATGTTTCTGTCTATCCTTTTGCCTTTCTCCCCTTTCCTGATCTTTTCTTTCTGCCTCCTCCATTCTTCTGTTCTTCATTGTCCTGCAATTTGTGCAGTAAAATCTGCACAATCTAGAAAAAGATCAATAGACACTTTATATGTGAACACAATGCCAGACTCTGGCCAATGAGATCCTTGGTGTTCCTCTTTTACACAGTCTGATTGCTGAAACACAAAAATTCTCTTATGTCCCTTAGATTTTAGGTTGGGATTCACCCCCTCTTAGTATATTAATTTGTGAGAATATTTAGCCTTACAAAGCACATATTCAAATTTAGGTTCTACTTTCACATATTGTAATTTATGTGTAAGTTTTCCCAAAGGCAGAGAAATGATCTAAGAAATGTGAATAAATAGAGATAAAAGAGTGAAGTATTTCTTTAGTCAAACAACTTACCCCATTTGATATGGTTAAGTCATGCACTCCTTATGTAAAGAATTACAAACCACTAAATTGAGAAGGGATTTCATATTTTCTAGCTTTACAGGAGAATTAGCTGAGGTCAAGCAGAGATACTGAATCTAAATGAGGTTCTGCATCGTGCAAAGCTGTGCGCTCCCTTTCCTTTTCTACCTGCACCTTTAAAAGCAGGAGCTCTTCTACTTCAGCCACACCTTTTCTGTTAAGTACTTTTTTCTCCTAAAGGATGTCTACAAATAAAATCAAACCCTCTCTAGGGACCCAGAATCGGACAAGAAGATCAACTAGTAGAGATCTTTTCCAATTTTTTAAAATTATCTAGCACACAGTACTTCTGTAGAAGAGTTAGAACTGGGTTCTAAACCTTGATAAAGTGCGTGCGTGCGTGTGTGTGTGTGTGTGTGTGTGTGTGTGTGTGTGTGTATGTGTGTGTGTGTGTGAGATATTTTGTTTTGCTTCTGTTGTTTTGGTGGGTGTGATGAGTGGACTGGGTAAGCTTTATATGTACAATGATTTTACTTGTTTTGGAGTGTGTTCAGAGGAAAAAGGCACATTTAAAAGATAAGCACAAGTGCAATAGGGCTAATGCACCCTTCGCCATGGGGCCTGGAACCCTTACATCAGACGTTGTAAGGACTTAGGAAAGATTCATGGCCTATTTTTGCAGCTCTCTTCTATAAAGGGAATGGAATTGTTCTGGAGAGATATCCCACCTGCAGCCTTCAGAACAACACACTTTGGAAATCACAAGAACTCCCTGGAGGACCCTCCCTCTCCTCTGTACAATCTTGGCACACCCACTAAAAGGATGGGTAAGAGACCTGGACCAGTGCTGGCTGCCTCATTCGTGGTCCTGGATCACTAAAAGACTTAATGAAGCCCTTTTGTTTCGTTTTTGTACTTGAGATGGTATGGGGAGAAGGAATTTTTTTCATTTTGGTCTTCAGATTTTTTAAAGTTCTTTTTGTTATGTTTTCTTGTTTAAAGCTTGGAAAGCAACTGTAATTCTCCTTCCCTGCCTCAATGTTTTCTTCCGTGAGAGCTTTGCCTCTCTAAAAGAAAGGACTAGGATTGCCCTATTTCTTGCAAGCAGCCTAGACTCATTCTGGAGAAATGAGTTTACTTTTCTGGATCCTAAGATCCAGAAAAACCTAAGTTTCCCATTTATTCAACTATGGCGTTGATGGATGATTCCTGAATTCTCATCTATGTTAAATGTGTGGGAGTCTGCGAGTTCCGTTGTCTTGAATTTCCACTCAAGTGTCCAGTACAAAGACAGTTAAAGGTTACAGTCTCCAGCGGAGAGTTGCCAACGGCGAGGTCGAGGCTAACGGTGGGAGTCTGCAATCTTGCCTGGTCTCTAATGTGCTCCTCTCTACCATTTGAGTTAGAGGCTGCAGCCGGCTCTTTTCTCTTAGCTGCTACTCTCGCTCTGGGGCGAAGGCACCCGCAGCGCTACTCTGTGACTCTCCTGGACTGCAACTGTCCAAACCATTTCCAAACCTCAGAAAACTGGGACTGCTCCTCTGTTCCTTATAGCCGTGCCACGGCACCCCTTGGAATTCCCACTACTTTGGAACCCGAGAAAGCCCTTTTTGCTCTGCCAGAGAGATCTTGCAACCATCTTGCACTTCTCCTGTGGCGCCCTGCTCCAGCCCAACCTCCCCACACAGCTTTTGACCATCAGCTCCCCCTCCCCCAACCCTCAGCCGGCTGACGCCTTTTCCCTCAAACTCCAAAGCACTCCTTCTAGCGTCCATCCGGGGAGAACTCTTCCTCCCCCGCCCCCAGCTCCCCAGCCGAAGCTGGAGTGGGCAGGGCGCCGGGTACAGCCCAGCAGCCCGGACCGGCCCTCTGCTGGGCGGGGACGGAGGAGACCCCGGACCTCGCGGGTCCCAGGTTCCCGCGGGCCAGGCGCGCTCCGGTCCGCTAAGGCAGCCTGCAGGCAGGGCGGGATCCGGGGACCAGCCTTGCGCGGGAACCCGCACCACAGTTCGGGAGCCGCCGCCCCAGCCCTCCGGCGCCCCCACGTCACCCCGACCCCGGCCCAGGCAGTCCCGAACCCCACGCAGCGTGCGGGACTCCGGGGCTCGGTGCGCCCTGGTCCGGCCCCCTCCGTGGAGGGGCGCGCGGGGGCCCAGAGCAGCGCCTCCGCCCGCCCGCTCGCCCTCCCCTCTCCTCGCCCGCCCACCCGGCCTGCGCGGCGCGGCTGGGCGCTGCGCTCGGATTCCGGGAGGGAAGTGCCGCGCTCCGTCCCTGGCGTCCCCTGTCCTGCCTCCCGAGTGGAGATGCGCGAGAAGCAGGCGAGGGCGCGCAGCTCCTGAGAAGCCGCGCCACCAGGCACCATGCACCTGCGGCCGCTGCCCCTCGTCGTGGTCCCCGGCTTGCTGCAGCTGGTGAGTGCCCTGCCGCGCTCCTCCCCACGCGCCGGGGACGCGTTTCGGCGGGAAAGTCGCGCTGTAGGGCGGCTGACACTGGAGCGGAGCCCGGGGCGCCTTGCAACCGGGGTTGGGGGGCGCGGAGGAAAGGGGGTTTGGGATAGCCTGCGGGGTTCCAGGGAACAGGGGTCTCTAATACAGGGGCCCTAGAGGCGTGTGAAGGGTGTAGCCGCGATCGGGACTTGAAGGCTTGGGTAAAGTGTGCAGAAAGTGGCCGAGGAGGAGAGGTTTACTGAAACGCGGTGTGTGCGGGAATGCAGCTCGTGGGTGCCACGAGGATGGGCTGGGAGACCTCCCTGCAGCGCAGAGGGAGAGGTTCGGTGGTTCCTTGTTTTCAAGTAGCGTTTTGCCCAGATGCCCGGACGGACACTTCTTTCCAAACAGCAAATCGTGAGTTTTAGTTTAGAAGAACAGGTAGTGGCGCCTTGATGAGTAAAACTTCGCGAAAGCCCGATGTTAGGGGCGGCTTGAATTTCCCTGCGTTTTCCCTGCAGCGCTGGAGACTGGGGTGGCGTTTTCCACCCGGTGGGAACGCAAGAGGTAACTTTGACGCCCGAGTTCCGGTAGAAGCCAGCGCTCAGGCACTTCCAATGGTCTTCTCAGAGCGGTCTGTCGCCCTGTCTGGGCGGCAGAGTGTAAAAAAAGTGGCTTGAGGTTCGCCAGCTACACTGGGACTCTTGCGACCGTTGGATTTCTCAGACAGCCACACTCTTACCTTTTATACCTGTATACTGTGTGGTGGTTAATTATATTTAAGGCAGACCACAGCAAAACCTTCAACAAAAAACTTTTGAATAGCATCGTAGAAAGGGACTGATTTGGCTTGGTCTCCCTCGCTGATGGATTTCTCCTGGTCACTTGGCACCTGTCCTGGTAGAGTGCTATTAAGAGGGCTTTTTCCCAATGCCAACGTTTCTTTGGACTTCATAGTTCAGATTTACCCATTTAGCTCTGGGCTGTTAAAACCAGACTCAAGAACCCAAGCGTTCCTTTCAGAGAAAAAAAAAATCAAATAACTTATGGAACTTTCTCTATAAAATGCATATTGTAAAGGCAGAGGCACTTTGGAAGTGCTGAGGGTAGAAAAGAGTCTAAAACAGAGTCCATGAAAGAACTCAGCCTCTGTTCTTGTTAGGACATTGAGTAACTTTACCTGCACAGCATTAAAAAGTCTTCCGTGCCATCCAGAATAAAATGCAGTAGTATCCCCAAGTGTCCTTGAATGAGCCAAAACATACTGTACAGCGTGGTAAAATAAATTTTACATCTAAGGCTTTATGCGTCCAAAATATATGCGACATTGATCTTTATTATCCCTTGCTTTTTAAAATTTTTCTTCTAAATTCCAGGAAGGATGATCATAGAGAGCAGCATTTGTACTGTGTGTGTAAGCAAAAGCCTGGGAAAATCAGGTACTTATGTGGGGATCTTCAGAATAGCTTCATGAATCTTAGTTCATGAATTCTTGCATTTGGAGATTTACTCCTTAAGCACTGTGTTAGGTTCTCAAAGATGAGAACAGATATTTGGGAATGTGTTAGGTAAGGATTCTACTATGAGCTACTGCATTGCAAATGTTAACACCCCCCTCACACACACACACCTATTCCATAGGAAAAAGGAAATGCATCTTGAGATTATACACCCTCCTTAAGAGCTAGATTCTAATATTACGGCATGGGTTGATTGATTCGTTTTTAAGGAAGCTTATGTCAAATTCTAATCCGTTTTAGGATTGTGCTGGGTTGTAATGTTTTTTCCTGGTTCACTTTATCATGGTAAGTGAGGTGGGGAACTGCAGCCCTGTGATAAGCGCACAAGCCTTGCACTGTTGTCCTCTTGAACAGTGAAAGGCTGTTTACATTTTCCCCATTCTTGGAGCTGTTTGCAGCCTCATAACACAGGAGGGTATGCTGAAATGTGAAAGGAAAACGGAGTAGCTGAGCGGGTCAGATCTAAATTGAAACATTTCTGAGGCCCACCGCATGCCCCACCCCCAATATCAAAAAGTACATATCATAATTTACTCTTCTGGATGTTTCATTGTTTTGCTCTATCTTTTTCTACTTCAAGATATAGAACTTCTTTGTTAAAGTCTAACAGCAAGTACATTAAAATGCTTTATTGAAAAGTGGTTTTCAAATTTTCTAGGAGCCATATATTCTCAAAAGATCTGCCCTGTGTGTGTGTGTGTGTGTGTGTGTGTGTGTGTGTGTGTGTTGGAAGGTGGAGCTGAATTATTGTTGAAAAAGGTTTATGCATTCCTACCAGCATAGTCAGCCTGCAGAACATACTTCTGAAAATGCTAAATATTTTAAATAAGCAGTAGATTCATTTGAGCATATTGAAATTTTAATTTTATGAAAATTACCTGTTTCAAGTGAAAATAGTTACAAAGAGATGGACCTAAGTAAGTCACCAGCTGTGTAATTATTTGAATACGCAGAATGTTTTTTAAAACTATTTTGTGATGCCTAATATTTTTATGAAAACAATAAGCTAATTTGATTACTGTCACAGATAGCTTGGGAAGAATATGTGTATGGGAAAAAATAAAAGAATATGTAGATGCTACCCGTCTTAGCTATTTTTCTTGTTCTATGTCCTGCCTTTTTTAACAGAGATATTGCTATATGTAATTAATGAGATTGCTAGGCATTTGAAAAATTTGAATATATTGTTTTCTTGATACCCTTATTTAGCATCATATTCTTTATAATGATATTAAAACACATTTTTCTTTTCTGCCATGCTAATGAAGAAAAATTAGCATTTGGAATTAATATTACAACCAAATGAATGTTGTTCCGTGATTAGATACAAGGTAAAGACTTCACTGGATGTTAGTTTCTTACAGATTTACTTGATAATTTAGAACTCATAATATGAGTGAATTTACTTTTAGGTGAAATGCAGACTGTAAAAAATATAAATTTAAATGTTTATCTCTAGTTTAAAATAATATTTAGCAGAGTTTTTTTGTTTTGTTTTAGCAAACATTTAAAAATATATTTGTTATGCAATTGAACTTATTTTTCTGTGATACAATGCTGAGTTTAAAAATAAGTTAAAAGTGATGTATGCAAATTTTTATCAATAGTATAAACACAAATATACTGTGGACAAATGATAAAACTATAAACATTTATAAAATCAAAATAGTTGTCATATGATGATACCATTTTAAGTGCATCTTTCTGATACAGTAGTCTCATATGAACTTATTGTGTTTATGCTGATGTTATTATTAACAAATTATAATGTTAACATTCATTTAATGTGACATTCATACTTATTTCCTGTTCTGTATATACCAAAATTGATAACCAAAAGTGTCTTCCATTCAAAAGTCACAGTTTCTCTCAAAGACTCTTGATCAATAAACATCAAAACAGCATTTTCCATTGTAGGATCAATAGTCCTCTGTTGTCTAGATGACAATGAAAAGGAGGGGAAAAAAAGCCCACCATTATCATGGTTATGACTTAAGCCTTAACTAAGTTTTAAAATTAATTCCCCATCATGAATCTTGTTTATCTTAAAATTTTTAAAAGTGAGAATTTGATTACTTAAATTCATTTTTCATTTACTTTCTGTAGGCTTTATTTTTTCACATTTAAAAAATTAATTTTATTGGCACACTTTAGACATACATAATGATCATATTCATAATAGGGAATCTGTACCTGTACATGGTGTGCCTTGATTCTTTTTCCTCAGTTCCTACTCCCCTCTTCAACCTGTTCCCCTCCTTACTTACAAAAGCTTTGTTCCCATATTCTCCCTCCTATTCTCTTTTCTTCTTTTCCCTTCCTTCCTGTTCCACTACCCCTCCCTTGCTCCCCTTCCCATTTGAACATTTTCTATTTCCCAGTATCTGCTATACATTTTTGTCTTTATTTATCCTTTTGGTTTCTCACACTAGAGAAACAATGGGATGTTTAAATATTTGTGTCTGATGATAATTAAATTCATGTTCCCAAGCACTACATACCAGTAAAAGTTTGTCTCTTAGCCAATGGTGAGGTTATGCTACCTGTTCCGGCTTTAAATACCTTCAACAAGGAAATGGACCCTCCTGCTAACTTTTTTTTTTTCTTAATAAATTTCCGAGTGGAAAAGAAAAGCTTGCTTTATCTTCGTTCTGTCTTTTTTTTCCTTCCTTTTCTTTCTTTTTTATTGTTTTTGATTAGTGATCAGCATGCTAAATAAGATAGGCTTTTTTTGTGAAAACTTTTAGAGGTTTACATTGTCAGCTTAAAATGTATAGTTCTTGCAAATCAAGTGATTGAGGAAATGTCAGTTTCGTGGTGTACAAAATGATTTTTGAGACATACTTGTATAATATTAAATATTATAATACTATAACATTAATGAGACTATACATGTTTAGCAATTTAGTCATTTAGTGGCAGCAATCAAAGGTGAATATAAATGTATCATAGGTTTGTGATTTTATCAACGCTCCAGAACTGTCTCTTACTGTTTACATATTCTGGGAACTTCCTTACCTGAAGCTTTGCTGGGTAAGATTTGAAAAGAGAATTATAGCTGCGCACTCAAGTGCCTACAGCGAAGGCTGTGTCAGCATTTCTGTTCAGAATCTAATTTCTATCTCTGCCACAAGCATTATTGCCAGCTAGCAGTTGGCATTTAATATCTTGATTTGGGAGTCAGTTATTTTAAAATCACTTAAAAAATTGCTTCAAATGATTCTGGGCACTCACCAATGTGAGGTTACACTCTAGGTATCTTTGTAATACGTAGGATGGTGATTTACCAGACTATTTTATGTTATTGATTTGATGACAAAATTCACGGACAAGTCCTACAGTTTTCACTTACATATGTTTTAGTATAAATAATAAGGTTTTAAAATTATTCCAATTTCTAATTAATGTATTTATTGATACATTATGATGGTAATTTCCAATTAATTTTTATTGTAGTGCCATTAT